GAATAAATGAATTAAATAAATATTATGGGGCAGAAACGTTTTCCTTGTTTCATTTACGTCTAGGCTCATAAATTTTGCTGGACGATGAATTGTATCAGAAATTATTGCGACAATGTCGTTTGGAGACTATAAACAAATACAATGAGTTGGAAGTTTACGAAAAACAAGTCTTTGTAATTGTTTTTATTCTTATATTTGTTCTTGTTTTCTTTGTGTTGTTTATATTTGTTACTGTAAAAACGGGTAAATTTGGGAAAAATTGTTAAAAATCGTGAAGTTTTGTTTTGGAAAACACTAAAGTTGTGTTCTGTTTAAAAAAATGTTTTATTTTTACTTAAGTGTGGCCATAGTGGGCGAGAAAGCACTCCTGGTTTAACAGCAAAATAATTTCACAAAAACTTTAAAATTGAATTCAGCCGAAATTGCCAAGAATAAAAAAAAGCTCGGCTTGGGACTCAAGCCTCTGGCATATCGGCTTTCCTCGAATCCAACGGAATGGGAATTCTCGTATGTAGATGATGAAATTCTTTGCAATTTTGAGTTCATGTTTATCTTATAATATACAGTATATCAATCGTTTACTTCAGAAATAGGGAGAAAAAAAATTCTTAAACTAAATAAATATTAAGTTGTCAGATCTTATGTCAGCCCATGCTGTCTCTGTTCACCATACATTCAGCTCTGAATGACAAAAATTTAGGTTTTCACTGGTCAAACTTATACGTATTTATTGTATTTTTTATTTTAAACTATATTTAAATCATAATAAACAAATCATTGCATGTCTTTTATTATTTAATTGCAGTAACATTGGTATTTATGTAATGCTTTACAGTATGTATGTATTGTTTTAACTCCTGGGTTTCATTAAACTCAATTTGTTGCATCTTTACCAAGTGTACCACTGTTTTCTGCCTTTATTCAAAAGTGATGTTGATCTGCAAACAGCAGAAGAATCAGACTAGATGACTGATGTGATAAGGGCAGGAAGAATCTTATCAACTTGTGCTGCCTCCTAGTTCACCTCTTAAAAAAAGCTTTGGTATCTGTAGCAGGTGGCACAAGGCCAGATATCAACAAGTCAAAGGTTTCCTGGTTTTTAAAGAGTGAGCAGCACAAAATCCCAAAGTGACACACAACACCACAGAACGTTTCTTTAAATAAAGAAGACAGACCAAGGTGGGGAATTAGCAAGAGTTTCAGGGAGTGAAAAGTGGGTCACAGACAAATATGTGACCGTATTGAGTAACAGTGGGACAAAAAACACAACTATAAAACATAAACATGATATTGTGCATCACTGATAAATGACACTATGCGACGGCTCAAAGTGTAAAAACTAAGAAAACAACTAATCAGAAGGCGTCATGGTTACTGCATGTCGTGGACAGATGGAGGACGCAGAGAAGGAGTTCGTTAAACCAGGAATGGAGGCAGAAGCTGTTGCGGGTGGTGGAGACGGCAGCACGGGAGGGGAGGAGTCTGTGTGTAGATATAGATGCAGAACCACACACGCATATACATCAATCTGAACCTGAACGTTAGCGCGCGGCGACTCCTGGCGTAGGTGTGTGTGAGTCCATCTGCGCACGCCTGTGTGTGTCTGATGAATTAGTGATGGCAGCTGGTGGAGCGGTGTGATCCCTCAGCAGTGGTGACAGCAGCTGTTAGTGGTGCTGTCTCCGCCCAGCCAGACTGACTGGGTCCTCTTCATCAAACACACCGGCTCATTAAAGCTGCAGGAGCCGCTGCCGCCCTGCTCAAAAACCCGCTAGCTTCAGAGCCGGGGGGGGCGGGGCCGGGGTGAGTGGACGAGTCCTGAGAGTCAGCTGATGTCTACGTAAAGAAAACGTGCATCAGACCGGAGCACGAGTGTTTGTCTTTCCTTTCTGCGTCTGCACGTCTGCAGATCTGCCAGTCTGTTTCTCGCCGTGTTTAGCATTAAACCATTGTCAACAAGAAATCTGCTTGTCAGACACAACTGCTGAAACCGTCTGCTTTGGTTCCTCTTACCTGCTACTCGTGCAGACCGGCGCTGACAGACGAAGATGGTGCAAATGAGACAAGGAAGTGTGCTCATCAGCGTGAGGAAGACGCACAGTTGAGAGCGCACAACGCCGCTCTGCCTAAACTATGTGTGTGTGTGAGAAGGCCAGGCAGCTGGCACGCGGCAGGTGAGGCTGTAGATACCTGTAGGTAAGTGATTCGGTTCTGGACCAGATCCGACAGGTCTTTAGCTTCCTTCGTTCTCCATTCGCCGACTCCGTCTGCCTGGCTGAGGTAGTACAAGTCTGTCATGATGGACCTACAGACAAAGGGAGGCAGATTTCAGAACTTTCATCACCTAAGAATAAACACCGACTCTTTTATGCAACTATTATCTCTCTGTGTGGTTTGTTAAGTTTATAAAAACTCACACACACTTAAACCTGCAGATAATTCCCTGTCAAAACACCCCTAATTAACACTCAGAGACAGGTTGGTACTTCTTTCAGCTTTCTAAGGCACCCTACTCGCACACTGCAGCTAAAAAAACTGCTTGTTTGGTGCTTTGCCTGATAAACACACAGTTCAGTTAATTATTCGAATAAAATAAGTTCAAATAAAATACTAAATTTATCAAGAGTCAAAAAGAAAATATTAACTTTTATTCCCTCTTAACTTCTACGTTTGATCAGTCCCATAAGTAATTTGTAAATATTCTTTTTTTAATTCCTCCAGTTGAGATCTTTCACTTTTTGAGGGAACACTTTTAAAATATTAATTGGCAGATTAATATTAATTGGCAGATTGCCAGATTAAATGGCAATCGGTTTCGGATGGAGGACGGTTGGAAACTGGCGTGTATCGTAAGCCCACCCACACAGACCAATATTTGCGTTTTGACTCCCACCACCCACTGGAACACAAGTTAGGAGTGATCAGGACTCTGTACCACAGAGCAGACAGTGTCCCTACAAACCCAGGAGCCAGGCAGAAAGAGAAATCACACACACGACAGGCCCTGGAGCAGTGTGGTTATCCTGACTGGGCTTTCCTGAAAGCAGACAGGAAACACAGACAGGATTCCATGCAACCTTCAGGTGAAAATGAAGACCCCAAACCCAGACCCAAACCAGTGGTTATTCCGTATGTTGCGGGTGTTTCGGAGAAACTGAGACGTTTATTTTCTAAACATGATGTCCCAGTGGCTTTCAAACCCCAAAACACATTACGGCAAAGGCTGGTTCACCCCAAAGATCCGGTGCCCCGGCACAAACAGAGCAATGCTGTATATGCTGTTAAGTGCCAGGAGGACTGTGACCAGTTATACATCGGGGAAACAAAGCAACCACTGTTCAAAAGAATGTCCCAACACAGACGAGCTACATCTAATGGCCAGAACTCTGCAGTTTTCACTCATTTACAGGCCAGCGGTCACTCTTTCAGAGATGAGGATGTTCTCATTCTTGATAGAGAGGAACGTTGGTTTGAGAGAGGAGTAAAAGAAGACATTTTTGTGAAGAAAGACCGTCCATCATTAAACAGAGGTGGGGGCCTCCGTTTTCAGTTGTCCCCCTCCTACAGCGCGGCTATAGCCAGTATCACTCCACCCCCTGTTAACAATAAGTGTTAATTAGGTGTCAACGATAGCCATGTGATGTGAGTATCAGTCACATGGAGGCAGGGCTTAAAAGCCTGAATTTAGCCTGAAACTCTCAGACTGAAGAAGTCTCTTGGAGGAGAGACGAAACGTTTCATTAGAGAAGAACCCGTCCAGAAGACCTATACAATTTTTTTCTTTTTGATTAATTAGCAGAGTTAGCTTTGCAAATTTTATAAACAATACTGGGAACAAAAAGCATCAAACCCTTAAAAAAGCCACTTTCATTGCTTTACTGTAGTTTTATTCAAGCAGGAGTTCAAATAATTATATAACTTGATCATTTAAAAACTTTGCTTTTTTTCATTTATAGTTTTTTTTTTAACTTATAATTCCTGCACATTAACTTATAATTCCTGCACATTAATCATTATAAACGTATAAAAAAAGTAGCTGGTCTGGTGTTTTGAATATGTAAAGAACATCTCTGAGGTTTATTGTGTATTGTGTCTATTATCTTAACCCACTTCTGTATCCATCTCCAGCAGTCACTGTGTGTGGGGGTGGGGGGAGGTGGGGGAGGCACCAGACATGTAACAAACATTTAGTTTACATACTAGAAATTTTACAGCATTTCTGAATGGTGTATGATAATAATGATCTCTGTCCAGAGCCTGGGCCCAGGATACGTCCGGTAGAAACTCTGCTTAAAGAAACAAGGAAATAGCCAGCAGAGGGCTGTGTTTGTGCAGGGAAAGAAACTTTTGTTTTGTTTTTTTAAGACATAGCAGTAGATGGATTGCTTTAGTATGAATCTATTTGTTTCTGCATTAAATTTCACACTGAGTGACTTTAAACACCAAACTTTACAGTCTGAACTAACCTGTTATACAGCAGCTAACTTCCCTTTTACATAAAAACTGTGCGGGTTACATTTTACTGCAGCAGTCCTGCATTCAAATCTTTGGTTTATTTACACCAACAGTCAAAGCCTTGTCTTAGAGGGACTATTAACTGCAGCATTACTTTGGTTGTATTTACATATAAAATAATGGCTGTGACTGAAAGTTACAGTGTCTTCATACTTCTTCTCCTCACCCCCTCTGTGTGGGTGAACACAGAACAACTGTGTTTCTGTGCAACGAGCTTACTCATCCGTTCTGCTGCTTGCAGCTCTCTGATACTGAAAACAGCAGAGGGAAAGGGACCTGTGCCTACTGTGTGGGGAGTTGCATTTCTTCTGCAGGAATGCTGAAAACAGTTTGTGCAAAAAGTTTCATGATTTGCCAGTTAGGCTATATTCACACTTATTAATGCTCAATTGCAATTTTTTTTTGCATGTTCACGTTATACTTTAAAAGTGACCTTCATCCGACTCCAGTGTGAACTCGCTACAGCACAGATGCAACCTGCATGTGCAGAGAATAACTTGACGTTGCACTCAGCTCGCTGTTAGCATGCTACATGTTAGCATGTTGATTCTGAAGTTGTGCAATCAGAGCAGATTAAATAATGATCTGACATGCTTGTTCAGGCTGCTCCGGAGCAACATTTAATTTTTGGAACGGGAGCAACATGCTGGAAGTAAAGTATTGATCCAGTAAGTTTAGTATTGATGCCATTTATTTCATTGGATTGTCATCCAGGACATGAAAAATTAAAAGGAAAAAGACAAAACCAACTTGACTTCTGTTCTGTAGCTGAAGACGTGTGGAGCTACAAGAGTTAAACTACACAAGGTTGGTATCAGTATTCTGAATATTTGAATTGGATCTGTGCTCAACAATGCAGCCTAGGTGGAGTAGTCGAACACAGATCCACTGATCCTTCAACACAGAGCATCTTCAGAAGACAAGTTGATAAAATAAATTTTAAACATCTGTAATGTTCCACATATATTAAACCTAGAGCACTGTATTGAACGATTCAATACAGATACTTGTATTATTGTATTGTTGTACTTTTTATTTCCTGTAAAAAAATAATATATACATACATTAATACATTTATACATATTTACACATATACATACATATACATACACATATACATACACATATACATACAC